TGTGTTCTACAGGTTGCCTTCAAAGAAGTGAAGGAAGCTGAATATCAACTAAAATATTTCTCAGGTCTTTTTCAAGTGGCCAACTGACAGGGAGTGGGGGGAGCAGTGGAAATCGAAAGTGCATTCCATCAATGGCTTTTCAAAGATAGTAACCAGGTGACCAAAGTTCCTGCTGGGCAAAATTCTAGTTGGAGAGCGTGATTGATGACGCTTGGCTATGGATGGGTCTCGTTGGAGAATATGATTTATGACACACGCAGGGGGTGGGAGGGGGGGAAAACCAAGGTCAAGGGTGACAATGATGTTACTCAGGGTCGGCTACACCCAGGTAGTGCCGGACATGTTCACTTCCCATAAATCCTTTTTGAAAGTTTTGGTTCGAGACTCAGGATTTAATTAGGGGCGACTACCGGAATCCTAACACTACAAGGCTGGCTGAGATCCAAAGCAACCCCCCCAGCTTTTGAGTAATCCCCAGGCCGCCCCCCCCCCCCTCTGTTTGATCCCCCCCGGTGGGGTCTTTACCGTGATAACCGGCGGCCCGAACATCTGCTTGGCACGATCTGCCGGGATGAGGGTGGTAGCCCTGTTGTGCCCACCTGGGCTCCCTGCGGAGAAAAGGGCAACCGATCCTAATGGACTACAAATTGATTTGCTGCCCACCTTGGAATCCTAAAGCCGGTTTGGGCAGCTCATAAACTTATGGTAAAAGGAGTCCCCCCCCCCCCCCCCGAATAAAGGCAGTCCTCGATTTACAACTGTTTCATTTAGTGGCCGTCCGAAGTTGCAACGGCCCTGAAAAAAAAAGGGGACTTCAGACCGTTTTCCCTGCACTTACGACCGCTTGCAGAATTCCCCCTGGCTCCTATTTATGACGGTCGCAGTGTGTCCTTGGGGGGAATCTCCTTTGGCGACCTGGATTCAGTTAAGGACCGTGAGCTGCTACTGCAATTCACTTAGCAACGGCGACAAAATAGGTAGTAAAACGGGGCGGGGGGTGTATGTGGAAATCCACCGAAACAAGTGTCTCATTTAACAACCGAAGTGTGGGGGGGCTCGAGGGCGGTCATAAGCCAAGGAGGATACCTGCAGGGGTTAGTCTCCGACTTAACGGTGGTTCTTTTAGCGACCATCGTAAAAAAAATTATGACCCTTTTCACATGTTCCCCAAGGAACCAAACGCAGACAACCAGCCAATAGGTGACGGTTGACAGGGCAACTGACTCGTACTTGTGACGATTGCAGCATCCCGTTTTGCAACCTTCTGATGAGGGAAGTC